TTTCTTACTAGTTTTTGAGGATTTTGTTAGTGTCTTATCCATCTATCACTAGAATTCCAGTTCTCTTGTTGTGTTTGTAAAACTTTTATTTCATGATAATAGGGCCATTCGGCACCAATTCTTTATGCTGCATGGGCTGAAGCCGGACTTTTTCCAGCAAGTGATTTGTTGAAGTTGAGGAAGATTGATTGCGATTTGGAAGGCCATCCCACTCCGGTATGACGTATTTGATGACCTGATTTAGTTCATGTGGTCATGGCTTATACATTCAACCTTTTGGTGTTTGAACAACTCTAGAGATTGAGTTTCGTTGATGTGGCAACTGGCTCACTTGGTCAAGGTCTGAGTTGTGCAGCTGGTATGGCCTATGTTGGAAAGAACTATGACAAAGCCAGGTATCTTAGCTTCTTATTTAAGAATTGTCTTGAAAAGAGCAAACACCACGGTGAATGGCAAAATAGTATGGAAACTAACTTCTACTAGACACTAAATTCACTTAGTATCTTTAAGCTGTAAAAACAGTTCTTTTAGAATTCTATTAGAATTGTTGGGTTAGTATTCTGGTTTTGAAAAGTTCTTTTAAGAACTATTTTGGTATTCTTTTGACCATTTGCCAAGGTATTTGCTCTTTTTAAGACAATTTTTAAATTTGTCACTATGACAAAATCTCTATTTTACTATTTAAGAAAGCTTTTTATTTATTGAAAAAGTTAAAGTGATTTGGTCTGAGATGATCGATACCACGTATGTTTTAGTTATCGTGTCTACACTCTAATGGGTGATGGTGAATCAATGGAGGGCAGCGTTTGGGAGGCTGCAGCATTTGCCAGTTATTATAAATTAGATAATCTTGTGGCTATCATTGATGTCAATCGCTTGGGTCAAAGTCAGCCAACCAGTCTGCAGCATCAGATGGAGGTTTACAAAGCAAGAATGGAAGCCTTTGGGTAGGTAGAACTAAAAATACCTGCCTTGTGGTGTGGAATAACAACCGTAGAATTTATTCCTTGTGGACCAAATAATGTCTACTGCTTATTTGCATGTGGTGTACATTGATGCATGAATTTCAAGAGGATAAGAAATAGATAAGCATTGGATCATTGATGAATCATAATTTTGATTTAAGCAAAGCATTTTTGTGGACTATTGATTATTGCTCATTAAATATGTTGGGTTTGCAGCATGTCCATCAAAGTTGTACCATTTTTGTTCTATTTAAGCTGGAATGCCATAGTGCTTGATGGCCATGATGTCGAAGCTCTTTGTCGTGCATTTTATGATGCAAGTGTGGTGAAGGGAAAGCCGACGTGCATTGTTGCCAAGACATACAAAGGCAAAGGCATCAACGGTCGGTAGTCTAATATGGAATCAATTTAGAATACTCTGCATTTGAATGTTTCTAGTGTGCTTTATCTGGCTTTCTTTTACTGAAACATAAATTTACTGATAACTAAAAGTAGACATCCCATATGTTACAACTGTAAAGTTTTTATCAATTGTCCACCACTCCACGAGATAGTTTGATTGTCAATTCAATTGTCTACACTTTTGACTGATAACGTATTATATAAATAGTCCTAGGAACATTGATAATTGGGGTCTGATATTGATACATGCATGCCATAATCTGTAAAAAACAATGGATTTCCAATGTACTTAATATGGCATGTCATGAATGTATATCAATATGAGTCCCACCAATTACAGTCTGTATTATGTATCATTGCGGTTTTTATTGCCTTGACCAGGATTTCATTTTAGTTTTTCGATAATTGCCATTTCCAGGAATCGAAGATTTGGAGAACTGGCATGGTAAAGCACTGGGAGACAAAGCTGCCAAGGCAATCGAAGAAATCAAGGCTCATATTAAAAATCAAGGTCCTCATGGCTTGAGTCCTCAGCCTGTAATTGATGATGCACCGGATGTTAGTTTGAAAGCCAAATTGATCGAACCGCCAAATTATGAACTTGGACAGAAGGTGCGCGAAGTCTTGTCGTGACTACCCGTTTATACTTCTTAGTTTTCCCACTGATGTGAAATAGTTGTCGTCTTTGTTACTTATTTCTTTATGTTAGGTTATTTTGCACATAGAATTCCATTTGGGCAGTTTTGTTTCTTCATTCTCAGTTGTGATAATTTATCCAAAAGAAATTTTACGCTCGTTATTGTTTTATTACACAAAATCATTGTTCTTGCAGAAAACATTTATGCTAGCTCATAATTTTTTCCTCCGTTTACGTAGATAGCAACTCGTGAAACCTATGGAAATGCTCTTGTAAAGCTGTACAAGACATGCCCGCGTGTTATCGCTCTTGACGGCGACACAAAAAACTCCACGCACTCGCTCAAGTTGATGAAAGCGAACAACGACAATTACATCGAATGTTTCATCGCCGAACAGAATCTTATCGGTGTTGCTGTCGGTTGTGGTACTCGACATCGTACCATTCCGTTTGCCAGTACTTTTGCCTGCTTCCTCACGCGTGGTTTCGATCAAATAAGAATGGCCGCCATCTCTCAAGCGAATGTGAAATTTTGCGGTTCTCATTGTGGAGTTTCCATTGGTATGTTGGGTCTGTCACGTGACTTCATCATGCTCTCAACATTTGTTTACCCAGTGATTGTTACTTTTCAATTATAAAAAACATCTATGCATTATTTTACTTTTGCATGAGGGTGGGGAGAGGTAAAGCAGTTTTTCCTAGTCAATATTGCTTCGCATTTAGGTGAAGACGGTCCATCTCAAATGGCTCTTGAAGATCTTTCAATGTTCCGATCAGTTTACGGCTCTTACGTATTTTATCCATCCGATGCTGTGTCCATGGAAAGAGCTGTTGAACTATCTGCTAACACCGAAGGCATCTGCTTCATCAGATCCAGTCGACCCGCGACACCTGTCATTTATAAAAACGACGAAGTTTTTGAAATTGGAAAGTCTAAGGTAGTTCTTTTAACGTTATTGCTCATTTTTGCGTCGCTCCCGTCCAAGCGCTTCACTCAGGTTGAAAAAGTTAGCAAGCACCGCTGTGCTAAAATATGGTATATTTCACTATGTTCACTTTGTCGTCCATTGTCGGTTTAGCAATAGGTTATTCATTCTCGCATAATCATCTTTTAAATTATTTTCAAGCTGTTATTTTTCTTTCCAAAACAACTCTCGAAAGAAATGCGCATTTCACGTTGACATAATATTTCAAATCAAATAAGGTTGTGAAGAAAAGTGATAACGACAAGGTGCTCATTATCGGAGCTGCTATCACTCTGGTGCACGCTATGGAAGCTGCCGAGGAGCTTGCCAAAAGTGGTATCAATGCCCGCGTTCTCGATCCATTCACCATCAAACCTTTGGACAACGAGGGTATCATTGCTAACGCTAAAGCTGCTGGTGGTAAAATAATTACTGTTGAAGATCATTATCCTGAAGGTGACGAAATTTGTTTGGTTAACTGTCGTAAGCAGGCCCGTAACCAGGGGGGAGGTTGAGTTCACCTCAATATATCCAATTATCCGTGAGGTCCGCTTCTCAAAAATTCAACTGAAAAAAGTAATAATAATTGAAGTTGTCTGGTTAAATTTGGCTATCCTTGTCAGCAATCACCTTGTAATTGAGTTTGACTTTCTCATCTCACTAAGATTTCTCTTTTGTTGCGTTTCGTAGGTGGTATAGGCGATGCTGTTTGTTCTGCCGTCTCAGCGGACTCTTCAATTGTCGTTCATAAGCTTGCCGTTAACGGTTTGCCACGTTCCGGGCCATCTGCTGCCCTTATGGATATGTTTGGCATCAGTAGCAAGCACATCGTTGCTTTGGCAAAGAAAATTTTGGCTTGAATCAAACGCTTGGACTTAAACATTTTTTTTGTCTACACTGTCTTTTTGTCATATAACAAGTCTTTGCTTCACATGAATACACCTAAATGTAACTTAGTTCAGCATCTTGCGAATAGGAATTATCGCGAAAAAGGAAAATAGTCGATAGATGTAGTAAAATGATATGTATTGAGCAGATATTATCGTATATATATTTTTTTGCGTGCTTAAACTTCTTCCTTGGAAGAACCCTTTGCGATAAATGATGATGGGTGATAGTCCAGAAAATAACAAGCATTAGGGCTAGGTACTAACATATTGAGATAAGCACAAGCGAAAGTCTTTAAACAGTTGCGGGGGGAGGGGTTATTGAGTAGGCTTCGTTGCCCCTCCGCTGGAAAATTTAACTTTATCCACTTGCTATCCGACCATTAAACATAGTCAAAGTTGGGTTTTCACTCCTCCCCCCCCCCCAAACCTCATTTGCTTCCGATGGCCTTTTAGAAGTTCTATTAATTTTTGTTGTATTTTGTTTTACAAAATAAACACAATGAAACGCGTGCGCTGCTTGGTCAAGAGCTGAGTTTGCATTAGCCAGTGCAAAGCACATCTGAGCTCAACTTATCAAATCGATGTACACAATCAATCAGTCAAAGAGAATTTGCAAATCGATCATGAATACATTTTAGAGGAAAAAACATAAAAAAAACTGCGCCTGGATCATCACGTTGTAGTCGTGCAGGGGCTTAAGTACTTCACTGAAGGAAAACTACGAATGATCCAAACCCGGTCTCCGAACTTCGATGTCGAACTCTCGGAACCACACCTCCAACCTAAGCTGGCTTGATGAGACACACATGGAGAAGTGACTCGCATTATTGTTATTTTATAAATAAAATAAAAGATGTTTTTCGTTCTCCCAAAGGTCTCCCCGGTTTGCATAAGCCTGTGCAAACACAGTAAACATCTTTTATTTCTTCAGTGAAAGACTAATATCGCGAAAACCAGATAAAATAATATGAAAAGAAGTGCTGACTTAGCAAATTCTTTCACTTCTGTCAAATCACTTCAAGGCTGAGTAGCCAATCCCAAGTTGTACTCTACCATCCTGAATGTATGCTACCTCCTTATATGGTTGATGGAGGAGGCGGGGCTTACGAAAGCACGTGACATAACAAAACGTCACAAAATAAAACAAGTTTTCATCTCAAAGTCCTTAGTATCATTTGGAACAAGAGGTTGGCAAGAAGAACACTGGACTATTGCCCGTAAAATCGTTTTAATTCAAGGAAGATGTCTTCGCCGTCCCCAGGGAAAAGAAGAATGGACACCGATGTGATTAAACTGTATCTTTTCGCGTTTTTATGCACGGCCATCGCTTATAAAACCGACAGATTTTCTTGTTGTTAGGATGTTTCTTCATACGTATATTAGACAAGTCTCGATTCTTTTTCCAAGTTTGTGTTTTTCTTAACTATTCCGTTTGCAGCATCGAGAGCAAGCACGAAGTCACGATTCTTGGTGGCCTTAACGAATTTGTCGTAAAATTTTTTGGACCTGCAGGCAGTAAGAATGTTTTTATTATTCGAGATTTAAATGGAGTCCTTCGAGGAGGATCCAATCCTATATGAATGTATATTGGTCGTTCGTTTTCTTGTTCGTTTGGTTTTAAAATTGAATTTATGGATTTCATTTTCAATGAAAAGCGAGGGGTGGTTTTTTTTTATTCTTTCGAGTTACAGCAGTTTCTCGAAGTTGAAAACACGATTTTCTCAGTTCCATTGCCAAAATTAATAATGTATTCACTCAATTGTAAACAAAAAATGTCTTTGAAATTTTAACATTCAGAATTATATCCTAAAATCTGCTCCATCGACTAACATAATCAATTTCTGCCAAATACCTGAACCACGCTCTATTTCTTACGATTATGATACACCGATAATTCGCCTAATCATTTCTCTTCTGATGATAAAAAGCGAAAGCAATCCAAATGCAAAGCGAGCTAGATATATTTGCATATTCATGTCTTTGTCGTCTTCGCATATTTGAAATATTATGCTTTATTGTACGTTTACAAAGCATGCTTGGTAACGGTTAGTGTTGGCGAGAAATTTCTTTCCTAAAATTTTTCGTGGCACAAGTTTTGAACTTAGGTTGATGACTGGACAAATCAAACTCATTACGATGTATTTGAAATTTGAATATTAAACATTTGCTTTGTGAAGATCACGTTTTACCCGCATGACTACAGTTATTATGTTTTAGATAACAATTTATGGCATAGAAAGGTGGATACAACAAATTATAGTGCCATACCTCATATTTCAAAGTTCCACTTACATGAGCTCAAAATTAGTGGTGTAACCAACCTGCACAATTAGTCACGTTTGGCAAGTTTTTCTCTGCTAGCTCACTTGCTGGGAAAAAAATAGATTTCTAAATAAAGAAAACATGAAAATGGTCGAATGTTTTTGTATTAGAACCAAAACTTGCTGGCTGGATATACCACTTGATATATCTGACATGATTTACTTTGAAGCAACCCGACTTTTAATTTACCAAGTTTGAAAGGGTCTGAGCATATTGGTAATTATAATTCTACTTTGCAGCACATTACGAAGGAGGCGTATGGAAAGTGAGAGTTGATCTACCTGATAAATATCCATTCAAATCACCTTCCATAGGTATTATTTTGACAATTTTTGGAAAGTAAATTTCTATATCAAATCAATGTGTCTAAAGCCATTGATTTGATTTATGCTATAACAACCACAGCTCCCCAAGCTACAGTGTATCATCCTCATATGATGGTAAAACTGAAGGCTTTTTTTGCTCTGGTCTTTTGTATTTATTTGTTAGGGCTATAGTTTGATGTTAAAATGCAAGTCCTTTGTTTTGTCTTGTGTGTTTTTTTTTTGATGCAGTTATAACACTTGAGTTCTTATCAGTTTCAATTTATTGCCTTCACTTGTCCTTGATTTCTATTTGCATATGGTCTTAAATTTAGGATTCCTAAACAAGATATATCATCCTAATATTGATGAGGCGTAAGTATGATTATGTTTGCATTGATAAAGTGATAATGCTTTTCATAGTTGTGATTACTGTGGTTTCAACTTTAGGTCTGGTACAGTATGTCTTGATGTGATCAACCAAGCTTGGACAGCCTTATATGGTACTATTTTGTTATGAATTTGAAGTATTTTGTAACAGAGTACTTTTAGACCTGTATCCTAAGCTGAAGAAATGTTTTCATTCTTTCATGAATGAACTCTCTCAGGATGATGCACTTGTATCTTTTAGATCTTTCCAATATTTTCGAATCCTTCTTACCTCAACTGTTAACATATCCTAACCCCGTTGATCCCCTTAATGGTGATGCAGCTGCGCTTTATCTACATAAACCAGAGCAATACAAAGATAGGATAAAAGGTATCAGTCTGCAGACAAGATATGATTTGGTTTTTATTGTTAGAAAGTTTAGTTGACTTTAAAGATGACTGCTGCAGAAGTTGTTAAAACCTCAGTCAATACCAATAGTCCTCAGGCCTTTACTAACCTAAACAATCCACATCTACAAACATTTAATGATACTGCCAGGTTCAAACCATTCACTTAATTGAAAAGTTGAATTGCATTTAGTTGAATAGAGTTTTGTGTAAGGAGACCTATATTTCGTTGTGCCAAAATGATGTGTTAGGTATGTTGTCCTAGGTATGTTTCTGTTTCTTGTTCAAAAAATGTTTACCAAGATATGTTTCTGTTACATGTTTGTAGATCCATGTGTGGATTGTCCAGGGTTAGTGCACTCCTGACATTTACTCCTTTCTTGACTATGAAGATGTTTGTCACTCAGGATGTCGAAATCTCATGCAACACTAACATGAACAGGCTTTCACTGAGCTGCACTAACCTGGATGATCTGCATCTAAAACATTTAATATATAATACTCCCTTGTTCAAACCATTCATTTTACATGCTTCTGTGCGTATCCAAACTTTCTGGCACTGTTTATTTCTTATATCAACATTCACATGCACATCGATGAGAAAATCAACATTTTCTACCCTTTGTCATCATATTTCGGATCAATCATTAACTTTCGGACTAGAAAAGTAACTTTTCCTGCTTTGTTGTGAAATCTGCTGGTAGGTGAACTGGACGTCGTTAAAGGAAAAGTGGACGTTTTTTGTTAGGTTTTTGATTTTAGATGCTTTCTTCTTTTTCTCAAGAAACATATACGTGAAACTCCTAACGCGGAGTGTAGACTAGTACATCGAGAAAATTATTAAATTTAACTCCTTGAACTACAGCATCCATCTTTAACTTGTCATTCTTCTCATTTCAGCTGCTTCCTTATTTACTTTCACCACCTCGTTCTTACTGTCCTATATGATCTTTCCACCACATCCTTGTTTTTCACTGTTATGTTCCTTTTATACTCCCTCGACACCTCCGTCTGCCTCTTACATACATGGCCTTCCTCTTCTCCGCCCTGTCATCCTTTACATACGCATAAATATCAGAATTTCCGACATGAAATTTTTTCATTAATATAGACTATATTAAGAGATTCGCTACTGAAGAAGCGCTTAAGGAACAAGATGAAATGAGCTCGTCGAGTGAAGAGAGTACCATTTCTGATTTTTCAGAAGACGAGACACATGACATGGAGTTATAGTATTGTGCAAAGGATATAGAGGATTTTATATATTAAGCTTAATTGTACAGAACACATTTTATATACATACCGCAAGCTTGATGCACGAGCTGATCACATGCGTTCCGATGGCCAGCCTTTGCACAAGCTGCATGCAAACAAAAAATTGGTGCAGGTTGTGCTCAGGCTAAACGTTGTGCTTTTATGTTTAAGCAAAACTGGTGAAATTCATTATGTTTATTCTTAAGTTGCCATTTCACCATGACCTCCGCGTTATCTTAATATTTCATTTGCGATCACAAAAATATTTCCTCTTTCATACATCGGGGTTTCATGTTATGTAAAATTCAGCGTATTTTGATTGGTTATTTTTGTTATGACGATTCCTTTCCGTGTTTCTTAAAGACCATCGGAAACACTATTGTATATCATCTGCTCAAACTTGTAGTATTTTGTACATAATTGTCCCCATATACTATCCCTTTGTACACATTCGCCATTTCGCCCTACTAATGGACGAAACCAGTGTGAATTCCACCAGCAATTTCCTTCAGTTCTTACTTGCTCTGCTTCATGTCTTACTAAAAACACTATTAGCTATGTAGAAGTTTCTCGTTGCATTTTTTTATGTTCTGGAAACTTTGTTTGGCTTTAAACGTTGTGTTAGATACCTTTCTATCATGTTGTTTTATAAATCTAAGTGCTCAAGTAAACAAGCAATGTGTTAGGATACCACAGACATGCTACAAATGGTAATACGATTTTTTGGCTCACGAGAAAAGTTTTCTACCAATAAAAGGAGTGCGACGAGAGTTATGACAAACAGTTTGTTTTCGAATGAAAAGTTGATTGGAATGGGCAAGCTAGGTATATGCATGTATAAACTTATTTTTCTTATCAGTCATACAATGTTCTGTTCAGCATTAGTTCGTAGAACTTCATTTAATGAGTAGTTGGCGCGTCATGTTTTAAGAAATTTGGTCTTCTGCTGTTGTGAAAACATATATAGTATTTTGTTTTAGTCAAAGAGGTCGAGTCATGTAAAATGTTGAAAGAAAATAATTATATCAAATCATAGAATCGTATTTGGTCTTGTGAGTAATTGCAGTTTTTGCATTCTTCATAATGATGGAGTAGAAGACATTCACCAAAGATCGTATTGAATTATCATCTCGTATTGATCTACGTTTATCTCTCATGCAGTTGTCTGAGCCGTCTCGTAGTTTTCCGCTCATAGAGCTCTGTCTTACTCTAGACACAAACCACTTTGACGACAATGTGAGAACTGGGCTTATAAGAAAGGAGAATTAATTTGATTTTTTGTTACTTACTCGATGCTACTGCTGTGAGAAGAGACTTGACCGTTTTGTTTCAAGTTTTATCGTTTCAAAACTGTTTTCCAAAAAATCTACTGCCGCGCAGCAGGTATCGGGTGTCCACTTGTGAGTGAAGTGTGACTTCCCGGGACAACTTGAACTTTTTCGTTCAAGGATAACTCGAGACGTCGATTGATGAGCTACCCCAGTTGTTTGTCATTATCGAAGCATAACATGCATCAGAAAACCCAGTCACAAGTATTTTCCAAATACTTGTCTTGCACAAGTTAGATTTCACGACCTGGAAAAAGCTGAAACTTACGATACTTGGTATTTTCGTAAAAAAATATCACGCGGTCATTTCGTTTATTTGCATTGCAAATGTAGACAATCAGCTGACTATGACTGAGTTCCTTCTCTGCATTGTCTTGTATTACAAAGAAGATGCTTCGCTTGACATTGTTATCTTGTGAGAATTACGGCGTTCAAAAGTTTGTGAGAGGAAAGATGTCGCGTGTAACGATTCTATCTTTCGTTCTTATTATGGCTATTCAGGCCGTATTTGCTAGATTACCAAACTGTAAAAAGGTATTGAATATTGGTGTTTTGATCGTGCGGTTTAGCATCCATCGTTTATAACACGTCTTGCTTACAGGGACAGTTCGAATACGAGTTTACAGAATGTGATTCGGCCGGCGGAAGGTGGCGTGTAGCCGTGCTACGAAGAAACGAGGAGTGTTTAGCCACTGGCCTTCCTCCCATACGACAAAAGAAATGTGGTGAGTTTACAACGAGTTATCATTTTCAATCTATTTGAATTGTCGTTGCTTTGAAGAAAACTGACGTGAAATGGAATATATTATGTTATCTGTGTGCTTGACTGAGCAATTTCAAAACAAAGATTCATGTACCTAGTGCAGGCTGAATCTTTACCTCACCGCGAGTTAAACATATAGGCGATTACTAAGGTTTGGACTGAGAATTCTTCTGCATGGGACACAAACACAAATGCGAGTGTATGAACTTTGAAGCACAGACAGTCACGAGAAAGTCATTTCTCATTGGCACCGGTGCTATGCAAAATAAAATGAATGCTTTTCATAGCATCAGGAACGGCTTTTACCGAGTTTAATCGAAGTACTTGGTTTCCCAATCGACCCAGGTTTACACTAAAAAAGGGGTTTTTATTTTCGCAATTTATACTACAAAAACGTCTTTAAAAGAAAAATTTTTGAAGTATCGTTTACTTGAAAGAAAAACAAGCAGTATCCTTCAAAACATCGAAAGTTCAGGAAATTTTTCATTTGTTTGTCAGTGGTCCGCAAAACATTAATTTACTTTATTTTTCCGTCCTGTCTTCTCTCGATAAATCTTTCGCGATTCTTACATCCTGATCCCCTTTTCAATCTGCAGAATCGTCGTGTGAACCAGGACAGTTCCTTGATGTTTCAAGTGCTGAACAGTCTTGTCAGCCTTGTCCTGTCGGTCATTACAGCTTGGGAGGTGACGTCGTGTATACAAACTGGACCATACTGCCAAGTGGCTTTGAAACGCAGTCGTTTGATGACAGTGACGAATACAGATCGTCGAAAACAAAGAAAGATAACTGCACGAAGTAATTAAAACCAACACATAATAATGACATAATGGTATTTTTATTCTTCTCATTTAAGCACTTGGCTTGTTAAGTGTTTGGGATCGTTTCATGGATCGCCCAGCCGAATACCATTGTATACACAAATTAGAAATTTGTGTGTGGTCTAAATTATGTTGATTTTTCTTTTTCTTTTAAAAAGTAGCACTGAATTAGATTTCTGTGTAGTGACATGAATCAATTACATCATCATGTCAGAGCTCACGGATCTTGATGAGAAAGTTTGTTTTTCCAATTTTTAGCTCTTTGTGGAAGGCAGCTGGTGACTATTTAGTCTCAAGTGCCGATGCCTGTACATCACAGCTTACTTTAGCCATAACGGTAACTCCTAGATGAATGATTAACGCCGAGTTTCTAATGGCAGACAAAAAGCAATGATCGAATTTCCTTTTAGTTAAAGAAGGACGGCTACGTCACTTTCTCGTACCGAAAGCCAAGCAGTGACGTCTTTTTCAACGTTTTTGTAAGTACATTGCTGACGCGCTTGTTTAAAGTCTTGAAGTGATAAACAACAAGCTTTTATCGCCGAATCAGTTCGATTAAATTACGATTATATTTTGATCTTTTACACTACCAGGTCCGTAATGAACAGTGCATAATGAGCTCAAGCGAAGATTCCTATAAATATCTCCCACGTACGAGAAATTTCAAATGGGATAACGAAACCGTAAGTGACAGCCCTGACAACGTTTGTTTTCACAAAATGACGTAATCATGTTTAGTGCGTGGCGACGTAACTCGTCTCATTGATTGAAGAAAGTCAGTGAAGCGATGGATCTTTTTATAAACACACGACAATAAGGGAACAGTTTACATTTGCGATAATGGCGATAGCGTTGACGGATGACACCTTTAGTTGGAACCAGTCCCTCGCAGATTTTTATCTTTGCAACTGATTTTCACTACTTGTTATACGTTCAAAATACTGTACAGGTGTTTCAGAGCTGAGGCAAAGTAAAGTAGTGCTGTTCAACAAAAATAAATCGAAAACTATTCCGAAAATAGGAATTGTGCAATTTTTCGTCTGTTCGTTGAAATTTCGTGTGTTTCAATCAACTCTGCTTTCTCCGAAGGTGCATTTGAAACGAGGCCACAATTTGATCGTTTGGCAAGCATCGCTGTTTCCATCGACCGATCAACAAAACGTTGAACAAAGGGGGGAACCAGTTTTTATCAAATCCATTCGCGTGAAAGGTTTGTGAAATCGTTGACAGAAGCAGTTCGAAATTGACCATAGAAAGGTACATCGGTGTGAGTTTTAATCCGAATGTTTCAGGTGTTGCCTATACTTCTGAGTGTTTCCCCTGCCCCGTTGGAACTTTTGCTGATCAAGAGGGAACAAAAAGGTAAGGTTTTTCGATGGAGCCTAGCGATGCGTCACATTATTTAAGGTAATTGACTTGCTTGGCTGGTGTTATTGTGACTGTTGAGTAAAATCATAGTTGCATTCATGAACGAGGGACACATCTAACGATTTTGTTCATTAGTTATTTTTTTGAAGGTGAAAATTAAGTGTTTGATTAGATATTTTTGTACGTGCAACGAACTATAGCTTTAATTGATGTTATTTTTGATATGAAATTTTACATTTTATCCTGCTTTGCAGATGCAAGCCTTGTCCGGCTGGTCAGTTTTATCCTGTCGAAGGAGGAACGGAGTGCAAAAAATGTGACATAACAACACAATACTCGAGTGGGTTTTTTACTTAGAACTTTAAAAAACTACGTCAGTTTTCTTCTGTGTAGAAACTGTAAAGCAGTGGCGTGTTCAACACAAACATATTTTAGTCGTGTTGTTTTAATTGCGCAATATTATTGAATTATTATTTTAGAAATCAATTTTATGTAGTGAATGAGCGTGGCACGAATAATTGTTACCTATATGTAGTATTTTGTACATTTTAGGAACTGGTTCGGCCGAATGTGAAAAAATGAAACCGTGCACAGTCAACGACTACATTGAAACTCACAGTGTTTGTGATGAGAATAACAAGGTATTAATGTTTAACCAAGCACTTGGAAATAAACGTCAACGTTCCTGTTTCACGTTGTTTTGCTTAAAGTGACAATATTTAGGCCACGTGATAAGGTATGCGCGTGGTAAGAACCATGTAGGAAAATGCGAAACGATTCACGAATGATTTACACTCAGTAGGCCGCTGCTCTTATAAAATTTTGCAAGGCAGGATGGCACTTATAAAAATGTTCCTCCGTACCCTTAATTAATGTTATGAGGACCTGCTGACTTTCGTTTTATCAATGCACACTAAAATCAATAACACCCTAAGACTGCATGTACCAGGCACAAGATCGGATCATTTTTGGGAGGTAGTTCCTGCCAATCGCCTCTTCCCACTTAGCAGTTTCTAGAAACCACGGTCACGTGTTGATGGTGCAGTTCATCAACAACAGAAAAGCCGAGAATGAATGTTAGAATAAATGAATGACGTCCTTCATCGTTTCTTCAAACGCCCCTGGCTGTTTCTTCTTCGTTAGAACTCGTCAACATTACAAAAACCATCAACCTCACATTCGTGAATATAACAGGAATTTCAGATATCGATACGGTTTATTTTTAATATTTTTTCATTCTTTCAGTTTAGAAAGACGTTTCTATGGATCGAGCCAAAAATTTGTTTGAGCAACGTCAAGGGATCGACTGCTTTACCAACATCGGGAGTGGAAGCTGATTGTCCACCGTGTAATCCAGGAATGTTCAAGAACGGCACGACATGTGATTTCTGTCCTCCAATGACGTTTTCTGACGGAAAGGGAGAAAGTACGTCAGTTTTTTAAGCCCAACTTCCTGGGTCTATCACAGTTTAGGTCGTACGAAAGTTTTTAATAAAGTTTCAATTTCAATTATTGTCTTCAGATTGTACGAAGTGCCCTCCCTCGACAGAGCCTGAATATGGTTTCGATTTTCATTGGTGGAGAAGCTGGCCGGAAAACATGGAACAATTATGCAAGTCAGGACATGGTAAGGCATGATGAAGGACCGATTGCATGAAAAATGTGATAATTCTTTGCCCAGTTGAAAGGTGCATGAGATCAAAGAAGTTGACACCTTTTCTGTATGATCAAACCAGCCGGGACAACGTGCTTCATGTAATTGT